GCGCCCCCCACCCCGCCAGCCCTGGCCAGGTGGTGGCGCTGACCGGCCAGCCCTTGGCCTTTTGTGTCGGGGGGCGCCCCTACCCACCTGCCATCCCGGGCGCCTGCCCCTCCCCCCTTCCTGCCTGGCCCTGGCCCCTGCCCAGTCCTCCTGCCCAGTCCTCCTGCCCCCTTGGGTTCTCCATCTGCTTCAGCCCCCCGAGCGAGGAAGATTTGCCTGCTGGTGTCCCCATCCGAAGGGGGGCAGCCTTGACCATGCTCTCCAGAGCCCCCTCCCTCCAGCATTAGCAAAGTTGGGGTGTGTGCGCTGTCAGTGGGCATGCCCTGGGAGCTGGCGGTTCACCCCCCACCCCGTCCGGGCCTTCTGCCCTCTGGAGTGGGCAGGGTGGGCCGCCCGGGGTGCTAGCCCTTCTTGGGTCTGAGCCCAGGGGCCCAAGAGGCTGGCTTTGGGACGGACCCCATCTCTGGAGGGAGTGGAGACCCTGTGCTTGGGGGCTCAGGTGTGAGGAGTGGTGGGGAACCCACCAGCCCCCCTGCTGGGCTTGTGCTTCTCTGGGGTGCCTGGATCTTCATCGCAATCGAGGCCAAGTGAGGGAACACCCCACTCAGACCCAGGACCTCACACGCCCCGCTGACCTGGCCAGAGCTGCCGGGAGGAAGGAAGCAGATGAGGTCAGCCACGGCCTGGGCGCTGGCCGCACCCCGCTACCATCGCACCCCGCCACTCGCCATCCTCACCCCCAGCAGCGGGGGAGTGAGAGGAGGCGGGCGGGCGGGCGGGGAGGGCCGCCAGAGCCCTCCCTGGCCGGAACCTCCGCTTTCCCTGGGAGCTGAGCCCGGGCTGGAGGCTTGGGGGGACACAGTCCCGGTCAGTGAGTATTTAGCCTGTTGTCTGCCCCGGGGAGGCCTGGGGTGTAAAGTCTGGATGGGTTTAAAACTGAGCCTGGGGCACAGAACCAGAGCTTGGACTGGGGGGTCCCAGCGATCCTGCTCCCGCAGAACCCTGCAAAGTAGGGAAGGGGCTGGCTGCGGGGGCCCCAGAATCTGCTGGCTGAGAGGGGTCGGCAGAGCCCCAGGGGTCCGGCAGAAGATTCAACAGCTCTCTGTTAAAGGGAGCCCCAGCCACACCCCAAGTCCTGACTGTGCTGGAAGACCATTTGAGAAGGGCGTGGAAGGCGGGGCGCTTGGTCAGGCTGCCCTTGGGGATCTGGACCGCAGTGTGGCCACCTGCCTGCCCAGACCCCTCCCTTCCGGAAGTCAGCCCTCAGCCTGCCCGTCCTCAGTGCTGCCTCCTTTGGGGGGCCTGGGGGGACAGAGGGGTGCCCAAGTGGTGAGCGTCGGCTGTAGCTGGTTTCCTCTCTGCCTGGCTCCTCAGCTTCCCAGGGGAGGGTGGGTGTGGTGAGAGTCTGGACCCTGGAGTCAGTTCCCGGCTGCACTGGCTGTGTGGCTTTAGACCAGGCACTGGCCGTCTCTGAGCCTCCCTCTCACCTCCTGTAAACCGGGGCAGCCGCAGGCCCTGCCTGCTGGCATGAGGAGCGGCCGTGGCGTTTGTCACCACGTCACAAAAGGTCAGGCCTCGCGGCCTGCCCCCCCCTCCTTTGGCCACTTGCTGCGCTGACCAGGCTGCCCGGGGCCCTGTCGCCATGAGCCTCTGCGCCGCCTCTCCAGCCCTCAGCTCTGCCGCCGCCTCCATGGACAGCTGAGCACAGTGTTTAGAGTGGCTCGGACGGGCTGGACTGGACCGTGAATCGGACAGGCCGCTGCTGTCCAGGACTGGCAGGCTGTGGCCGCTGCTTGGGTACCAGTGTGAAGGGGGGTGTGGCACCGAAACCCCCAGGGCCGTGGGCGACTTGGAGTCCAGAGCTGCAGGGAGGGAGGGGGGCACAGGTGGGGGGCTTCAGACCGAGGGACAGCTGGCGCCAGGCCCAGGCCTGGGGGCGCCTCTGCAGGGGTGCTGGGGAGAAGCAGAGGCCGGAGGTGGTGGAGCAGAGTGAGCTGGGAGGGCCCCCGGCCCCCTTTGGGGGCACTGCTGCCCCCCAGCGGGCAGTGCTTGCTGGCCGCTGTGGCTCTCCCAGAGCGCAGATACTGTCGGTGGGTCAGCAGCATTTTCGGGCGACCGGACGGGTGTGGCAGGGGGATCGCGGGTGACCCTGCTGCAGCGCCGCCGGGCGCTCGGGAACCCGGAAGCCAGAAGCCTGGAATGAGGCTCAGGCTGCCCCTGCCTCGCCCGGCTCCCCGGCCTGGGCTCCCCGGCCTGGGCCGCGTCGCCGGCAGCCTCCGTGGTCCCCGGCCCCCCCGCGTGTCCGTGTCTCTGTGTCTCTTCTCGGAGGGACGCTGGCCCCATGAGCGACCCCGGCCTCTCTGACCATGTACGCCGCGTGACCTCGTCTTCACTTACATCCGCCGACCCTCTTTCTAAGCGAGGTCACGTTCTGGGGTCCTGGGGTTGGGACGGACCCACCTTTGCCCGGGACGGGAGTACGTCTGGAAGGCCCGGCCATGGGCGGATGGGCGGAGTTGCGTGGGCAAGTTCAGGAGCTGGTCTGTGATCGCTGCAGGTTTTTGGTTTTTTAAATTTATTTATTGATGCATAGAGAACTGGGGCACAGGCCAGAGGTGCAGGGGGGTGAGAGGCTTCACCAGAGACAGAGTGGGGAGCAGGACAGGAGGATTGACAGGTGCACTGCTGAGGGGAGCAGTGGGGAGGCAGGAGAGGTCTGCCGCGCCCTGTGGGTCACCTGCGGGGCGGGGATCCATCTCGTGCTACAGGGGCTGCGGCCAGCTTGCAGTGCTGCGTCCTAACCCTTGCGCCACCAGGGGGGGCCAGGGTTTTTCTAAGGTTTATTTATTTATGCGCACAGAGCTGGGGTGCAGGCCAGAGGTGCAGGGGGTAAGAGGACTCCCCAGAGACAGTGGGGAGCAGAACAGGCAGATGGACTGAAGCCCCCTGCTGAGGGAAGCAGAGAGACAGGGGAGGTCTGCCGTGCCCTGGGGATCACGCCCTGGTGGGGATCGAACTCGTGCTGTGACCCGGTGCGCCACCAGGGAGGCTGCACACTGCAGTTTTGAGGTGCATTTGAATCCTGGGGAGAATGGAGGAGGTCTGCGTGGCGCCCCGGTCGAGGCCCCGGCTAGAGATGTGACTGTGGGACCCCAGCAGAGGCCTGAGACTCCTGAGCCAGGCTGGGTGTGGACTGCAGTGGGGAGGCCCGCAGAAAAGGCTCAGCTGAACCCACCGAGACCCCGGGCCCCCAGACGGCCGGCCGGGCTGCAAAGATGCTCACGTCGGGAAAGACAAAAGAGAAAACAAAAATACACGGGGCCGCGTGCAGGGCTGCAGAGAGGCGGCCGAGGTCCCGAAACCCGGGGCGGGGGCTCTACAAGGTGTCATCAGACAGCCGGGGCCCGGGAGGTGGCCTGCGTGTCAGCCTCAGTCTCCCGCCTGTGACACCTGACGGGGGGTGCCCAGCCCTGCTCTCGGGTGCGGTGTGATGTCTGCACGGGGTACGGTGGGAGTGGAGGGCAAGGAAGGACACAGAGCCAGCAAGGCCACGCGCCCCCGGGGAGGGACTTCGTAGGTGTCAGGCGGGACTGCAGGCCCAGGCTCCATCCTGGAGGGAGCTGGGGGGTGAGCCATGGAGGACATGCCGAGGGCAGCCCCCACTCGGGGTGCGGTGGTCTCCCTGGAAGGCTGGTCTGGGCGGGAAGCCGGCGAAGCCCCCAGCGCGGCGGGCGCGGGTGTGGGCTGCTCTGCTGGCTTCCGTTTCCCTCGGCCAGCAGAAGCCAAGCTGGCAGGAGGGATTTTGGGGTGAGCTGCGGGAGGGGGGGGAATGGGGGTGTCCTCCACTGGGTAAATCCGTCACATCGCCAGCCCCTGGGGTCCCTTTTCCAGCCGCCAGGGTGGTTGGGTCGGGGGAGCTTGCGGGGCCCAGGGGCGGCCCCCACCCCAGGCCCCGGCCCCCCTTTCAGCGGCAGCCCCCGCTGAGCCCAGGGCCCCTGTGCAGTGCTGGTGGCCGGCCTGGCTCCCCCTGCACCCCTGAGCACAGATGCACGGGGAGGCGGCGCTGGGGGGTACGTGGGAGCTGGCCCATGGGGGGACCGATGCCCGGAGGGTGGAGGCCGCGGCCTGGGGCCTGCCTCGTCCAGGGCCGCCCACCGCCCCCTCCCGCTCAGGCATGCCACCATCCCGACTGCCAGCAGCTGCGCCGCCCGGGGCCCCTGAGCCTCTGCGAGGCCTGTGACGCCAGCGCCATGCACTATGACGACCAGGTCCGCCTCGACCTGCCCCCGCAAGGTGAGCCGGCGCCCAGACCCGCGGGTACGGGACTGGCGGGCCTCAGGACAGCGCCCCGGCAGAGCGGCCCTTCTGTGGCACGAGCTCGAAGGCCAGACGGCCCGCGAGCACCAGGTGCTGGGTCAGCCTCACCCCGGCCGCATGGGGAAGGCCCCGGCTTCCTGTCCGCAGGGCAGGGGCTTCCGGGCTGACCCCCGCTGCCTTGCAGGGTGGGGGCGGGTGGGGGCGAGCTTGTGGCCGGAAATCAGAAACCCCGCGGGCCCCTCGCCCGCCGCTGGCGCGCCCGGTCTGGCCGGAAGGGCCAGCTTCTTGTCCCCTTTCTCAGCTGGCCGGGGGGGACAAGGGCTGTCCCCCCACCCTCCGCCTGGGCCCTGGGCAGTGAGGGAGGGAGCCTGACAGGAGCGCCCCACCCAGAGGCCGTCTGTAGGGAAGGGTAAACAGGCCTCAGCGGCCCTGTGGGGCCTCGCCTGCTGTCACCCCAGGGTGGGAGACGACTGAGCCGCTCTGCTCCGAGCCCAGGGTCCCCAGCTCCTCTGGGGAGCAGTTCCAGAGCCTGCGGTAGGCTCGGGGAGGAGTCGGGGGCCGGGAGGGAGCAAGCGCACCCCTGTCCTCTACCCCAAGTTTCCGTCCTGGCCCGGAACGTGTCCACCCGGTCATGCCCCCCACGCACCAGCCCCGCTATGGACTTGGAGGAGGAGGAAGAAAACTCGACGGACAGCAAAGGGTAGGCGGCGGGCGGCCCGCGGCCTCAGGCCCAGGTGGCAGGCCGAGACCCGGGCCACAGGACCGCGCCCCTCCCCGCCCTGCGGCTGCATGATCCCTGGGGGGCCCTGGGCTGGGCCCCGATGCCCTCTGACTGGTGCCAGCAGAGGGTGCCCGGCCGCTCAGCCCGGGGCCCACGCGAGCTGCCTGGTCACCTGGAGGGGTGGAGGGGCGTGCTTCACCCTCCCCGCTTCCCTCAGGGACCGGAAGACCACCGGCCTGAAGCTCCCCAAGAAGAAGGCGAGGAGGAGACACACAGATGTAAGGCGCCCCCGGCTGGCAGGGGGGCCCGCAGCCCGCTCCCCCGGGGCCCAGGCGTGGGGCCTGACATGGGTGTGTCCCCCGCCCTGCATCCCAGCACTGCCCACCTTAGCCAGCAGCCTGGGACAGAGGAGGCCCGGGGGGAGCTGCTGGGCTTTCACGCGAGGGGGCGGGCCGCGGGGTCCAGAAGCTGAGGCCGTGTCCTCTCAGGACCCCAGCAAGGAGTGCTTCACCCTGAAGTTTGACCTGAGCGTGGACGTGGAGACAGAGATCGTACCGGCCATGAAGAAGAAGTCGCTGGGGTAGGCCTGGGCGGGGGTCGGCCAGGGCTGCCCTGTGGGGGTTTTGGGTGTGGGCAGGGGCGGCCTGTGTTGTCCAGCAGTGCATGGACACTGGTGGGGAGTGGGCAGGGGTGTGCCCACTCCCAGGGCCTGTACCTGGGTGCGATGCAGGGCACCTCCCTGTTCCACCGGGAAGGCGGGTGTGTCTGGGGCGAGGGCGGGGCGGGGTGTGCGGACTGCCGACACCCCGCCACCCCGGCCCAGGGAGGTGCTGCTGCCTGTGTTCGAAAGGAAGGGCGTCACGCTGGGCAAGGTGGACATCTACCTGGACCAGTCCAACACGCCCCTGTCCCTCACCTTCGAGGCCTACAGATTCGGGGGACACTACCTGCGGGTCAAAGGTGAGCTGCTGCCCAGGCCGGGGGGCAGGGCCCGGTCGGGGCCCCCCGTGCCGGGGCAGAGCTGGGTGCTTCTTCGCGGGGCCCCAGCGGCTCTCGCCCATACCGGTGCTGAGGTGGGTGCAGGGCGGGGGAGCACTCGGCCCGGCCCTGGGGGCTGAACTCTGCCCCCCTCACCACTCCAGCCAAGCCAGGGGACGAGGGGAAGGTGGAGCAGGGGGTGAAGGACCCCAAGTCCTTGAGCCTGCCAGTCCTGCGGCCAGCTGGGGCCGGGCCCCCCTCCCTGGAGCGCGTGGACCCCCAGAGCCGCCGGGAGAGCCTGGACATCCTGGTGAGGAGGGGCCGGGGCGCACAGAGGGTGGGGGGCTGGGCCCCTTGCCCCCCCGGAGATGTCACTGCTCCCTCGGGAAAGCGGGCAGCCTCTGAGAATAGGGCGCCTCTCTGCATCTAACTGAACCCCCGGGGACGGGTCTTGTCTCCGAGTGCCCCGGGCGCCCCGGGGTCGTGTGCGTGGCATGTGCTAAGCGGCTGTGCTGGGGGTGGCGCTGGCGGGGTGTGGGGCTGCTGTCACTCTGAGGGCTCAGGACAGCCCGGGCAGTGGGGGTCTCGGGAGAGGGTCATCGGGCTCGTCCCGCGCTGTGGCTGAGGTGCTGGGAGCCCCGGTGGGCCTGACCTGACCCTCTCTGCCTGCCCAGGCCCCTGGCCGCCGGCGCAAAAACATGTCGGAGTTCCTGGGCGAGGCGAGCATCCCTGGACAGGAGCCCCCGCTGCCGTCCAGCTGCTCTCTGCCCAGCGGTGGGAGCGGGAGCGGCGACAGCTGGAAGAACCGGGCCGCCAGTCGCTTCAGCGGCTTCTTCAGCTCGGGCCCCAGCGCCAGTGCCGTGGGCCGGGTACGTGGCCCCGCGGGCCGGGGCCGGGCTGCCCGCGCACCTGGCCCTGACCGCCGGCGTCCCTGCAGGAGGTGGACAAGATGGAGCAGCTGGAGGGCAAGCTGCACGCCTACGGCCTCTTCGGCCTGCCCCGGCTGCCCCGGAGGCTCCGCTTCGACCACGACTCGTGGGAGGAGGACGGGGACGAGGACGAGGAGGACGACACGTGTCTGTGGCTGGAGGACAGCTGGAGGGAGCTCATCGATGGGCACGAGGTGGGGCCGGTGCCTTCAGCCGCTGTCCTCACCCCCGTGGGGAGCGGCCACCTGACAGTGCCACGTGCGCCAGCTGTTTCTGTGGCAGGGGCGGGCCCGGGGC